CAGGCTCGGGGATCTAGGAGCCTCACTGTTTGTTTTCATGACAATTCTGGGTCTCACCTCTTCCCTTCTCTGAGTCAAGGTCCTCATCTGAGAACTCTCAGAGGGGGTATGGTGTGGGTTCAAGGGGCCAAGACTACTAATTTCCTAATTATCTCTCCCAGCTGGCGCGGGAAGGGGGAAGACTAATAACTGACTGTGCAACACCGGCGTTTCAGTTGGGATGGAATTTCCCCAGCTAGTAATGAAAGAGGTGATTGAAGGACTGCATGGCCAGGGCCGAGGTGGGGTGGGAGGAGGGGAGGGGGAAGAAAACAAGGGAACGAAAGAGCATAGAAGGGATGACTCCAGTCTGGATTGCAGCAGGTTCTGTGCCGAAAGCTTTCACTAGAGAATGCTGGGGGCTTCTCTGACTCATGGTGCCTCTCAGGTCAGGCTGGGTTCTGGCTGCCTGATGTTTAGAAGGAATCGCGGGTAGGAGGAAGACTGGCTTCACAGAATACTCTTTCAAACTACAATTTTTTTTAACGATGTGAGCGAGTTACTTTTGAAAATATTTTAGGTTCACACTCTGTAATCCTAGAACTCTGGGAGGCTGAGGCAGGTAGATCACCTGAGATCGGGAGTTCAAGATCAGCCTGGCCAAAATAGTAAAACCCCATCTCTACTAAAAAAAAAAAAAAAAAAAAAAAAAAAAAATTAGTGGGGCCATGGTGGCATATGCCTGTAATCCCAGCTACTCGAGTGGCTGAGGCACAAGAATTGCTTGAACCAGAGAGCAGGAGATTGCAGTCAGCCAAGATCGTGCCACTGCACTTCAGCCTGGGCTACAGAGCAGGACCCTGACTCAAAATAAATAAATAAATAAAGAGGCTGGGCACAGTGGCTCATGCCTATAATCCCAGCACTTTGGGAGGCCAAGGTGAGTGGATCATCTGAGCTCAAGAGTTCGAGACCAGCCTGGGCAACATAGTAACACCCTATCTCTACTAAAAATACAAAAAATTAGCTGGTCATGGTGGCACATGCTTGTAATCCCAACTACTCGGGAGGCTGAGGCAGGAGAGTTGCTTGAACCCAGGAGGCAGAGGTTGCAGTGAGCCGAGATCTTGCCACTGCACTCAAGCCTGGGCAACAGAGAGAGACCCTGTCTCTAAAAAAAAAAAAAAAGAAAGAAAGAAAATATTTTAATTTTTAAAATATGACCACATTTATCTTTCTTTCTGAGAATCATTAATCTTTTACTTCTGTTAGATAATTCAAAGCCAGGCATCCCTTCATTGGAGCTTCATTCAAAGGACTGCCACCACTCAGAATATCAAAGCTGAACAGAGGGTGAGGGTCTTATTTTACAGTTGACAAAAGCAAAACCCAGAGACTCCAGTGACTTGGCCAAGGTTGCACAGCTCTTTAATTTTATTTACTTTGTTTTTAAAACTCTGGTGATGGCCATGAGGGAGGGATGGTTTCCTGGCCTGCCTGCAGGATCCTTGAGAGTGTTTCTTTTTTCTTTCTTTCTTTTTTTTTTTTTTTTTTTGAGACAGTTTCAGTCTGTTGCCCAGGCTGGAATACAACGGCACAATCTCGGCTCACCACAACCTCTGCCTCCTGGTTCAAGTGATTCTCCTGCCTCAGCCTCCCGAGTAGCTGGGATTACAGGCATGTGCCGCGACGCTCGGCTAATTTTGTATTTTTAGTAGAGACGGGGGTTCCTCCGTGTTGGTCAGGCTGGTCTCAAACTCCCAACCTCAGGTGCTCCGTCTGCCTCGGCCTCCCAAAGTGCTGGGATTACTGGTGGGAGCCACTGTGCCCAGCCTGAGAGTGTTTCTGCTTGTCTTCTAAGGAAAAGGAAGAAGCACCTTCTGGCCCCTGCCCACCTCCTACCCACCACTCCCAACCTCTCTCCCATCTACATCCAGCCTGAGCAAGGGCTGTGCAATTGATGACCTGGTTTTTCTTCCCTCCTTTTTCAGTCCGTCTCAATGCTTCCAAAGAATCCTTGGATTGAAGCAAGGAGGAACAGCAGTTTGGGCTTAGGTCAAGTCACACTTCCCTTCTCTCCTCAAATAGCCCTTTTTCCCTCTGGGATACAGACCAGGACCAAGGCGAAAGTCAGCCTTTTAAAAATAGTCCTGACCACACTTTTGCAGGCTTCCTTCCCTTGCCTCTACCTCTGTAGTTCGCCATCAACAAAGTTTAACTCCTGGCAGAAAGGATGAAATTTGACAGCAAAAATGCTTTTTTTTTTTTTTTTTTTTTTTTTTAAGACGGAGTCTCACTCTGTCGCCCAGGCTAGAGTGCAGGGGCGCAATCGTGGTTCACCGCAACCTCCACCTCCCAGGTTCAAGCGATTCTCCTGCCTCGGCCTCTTGAGTAGCTGAGATTACAGGTGTGCGCCATCACACCTGGCTAATTTTTTATTTTATTTTTAGTGGAGATGGGGTTTCACTATGTTAGTCAGGCTAGTCTCAACTTGCCTGACCTCGTGATCCTTCCCCCTCCCAAAGTGCTGGGATTACAGGCATGAGCCACTGCACCTGGCCAACAAAAATGTTTTCTAACTGCAAAGGTGGTTTGACACTGCAAAGCGTTGATTAAGAATGGAAGAAGAGACTGGGCACGGTGGCTCACGCCTGTAATCCCAGCACTTTAGGAGGCTGAGGCGGGCAGATCACGAGGTCAGGAGATGGAGGCCATCCTGGCCAACATGGTGAAACCTCGTCTCTACTAAAAATACAAAAACATTAGCTGGACATGGTGGAGCATGCCTGTAGTACCAGCTACTCAGGAGGCTGAGAAAGGAGAATTGCTTGAACCCAGGAGGCGGAGATTGCAGTGAGCCAAGATCACGCCACTGCACTAGTGCCTGGGCAACAGTGTGAGACTCCATCTCAAAAAAAAAAAAAAAAAAAAAAAGAATGGGAGAAGAGGTTGGGCATGGTGGCACACGCCTGTAATCCCAGCACTTTGGGAGGCTGAGGCGGGTGGATCACTAGAGGTCAAGAGTTTGAGACCAGCCTGGCCAACATGGTGAAACCCCAGTCTCTGCTAAAAATACAAAAAATTATCCGGGTATGGTGGTGTGAGTCTGTAATTTCAGTTACAGGCTCTTCAATTACAGGCTGAGGCAGGACAATTGCTGGAGCCTGGAAGGCGGAGGTTGCAGTGAGCTGAGATCGTACCACTGCGCTGCAGCCTGGGTGACAGAGCAAGATTGTCTCAAAAAAAAAAAAAAAAGAAAAATGAACAGGAGAAGAGTCTACCATCTGTTTGTGAGGGAACTGGTTGAATGTTTGTGGAAACAGGTTACTTCCTGGAGGGAACAACAGCTTCTTTTGGGAAAGGGGCCTAAGGAAGAGGGAGGAGAAGGAGAGGAAGGGCAGGCCGTGCTTCCTGTAAAGGTTCTAGTGACTCATGTGACTCTGGAAGAAGGCAGGCCCTGGGATGATGGCAGGGGGAAGGTATCGAGTGGGTTGTTCTGACCTGTTTACAATGCAGCAAATGCCTTCAGGTTTTCTTCTGTGGACACAATGTGCAGCCATCCTGAGACATGCTGCATGCTTCCCCTACCTGGTCAGCAGAAGCACGGGTCAAGGTCCTGAAGCTGAACTTTCTCACTGTGCCAGAGAGAAGCCAGCCCTTTGCACCGGCAAACAATAATTAACCCACCTCTCCCTCCGCCTGTTTTTCTCAACATGTTTTTCTAAAACATAAACTGGGTCACTCACTTAGAAGGTGAGTGTTGATCTGGCCAGTTTCCCAAGTCCACCGTGAAACACTTCCTCCACTGATCACTTGGTAGGTGAAAAAAAAGCATACAAAAGAAAAGTAATCAAAAAATAATAAAACTGTACATTTTGCAGTTTGGGCTGTATCCCTTCAGAGAAATCTACCCTGCTGCTCGGATTAAGCTGTGGACTAGAGCTAGGTTTTTTTTGGAGGGGAGGAGGTTTTTTATAGTTTATTTCAAAGAGACGGGGTCTTGCTATGTTGCCCAGACTGGAGTGCAGTGGCTATTCACAGGCGAGATCCCACTACTGATCAGCACGGGAGTTTTGACCTGCTACGTTTCCGACCTGGGCCAGTTCATCCCTCCTTAGGTAACCTGGAGGTCCCCGCTCCCAGGTCACCATATTGATGCCGAACTTAGTGTGGACACCCAATCGGCATAGTGGACTGCAGCCCAGAACTCCTGGGCTCAAACGATCCTCCCACCTCAGCCTCCCAAGTAGCTGGGACTACAGGCAAGCGCCACTGCACCCAGCTGGAGCTAGGTTTTGAATACCATCTATAGTATGTAGACAACATCGATTCTAGACCAGGCGCAGGGGCTCATGCCTATAATCCCAACACTCTGGGAGGCTGACACAGGAGGACGCTTGAGCCCAGGAGTTACAGACAAGCCTGGGCAACAAAGTGAAACCTTGTTTCTACAAAAAATACAAAAAATTAGCCAGGCATGGTGACGTGGGCCTGTAGTCTCAGCTACTGGAGAGGCTGAGCTGGGAGGATCACTTGAGACCCAGGAGGTTGAGGCTGCAGTGAGCCATTACGGGACCACTGCACTCCAACCTGGGCAACAGCGTGAGACCCTGTCTCAAAAAAAAAACGAACCATTGTGGGATGATAACTGAGTAAAGGAACGGTGGTTCCTTTCTTAACAGAATCCAGAGCCCCCACCCAGAATAGAAGATTCGGCTTCAGGTAAAATCAGACTTTTTTTTTTGGGAGTAAATGCAATTTTTGGATGAGGTGTGTGGTAAGTTACAGCTCCTTTTTCCTCTTTGCGTTCTCGTCTGCAAATAAACTTGTTTGAGTGAATGAGTCAACCTTGGCCTGGGAGAAGGTGCCAGGGCCCTGGACCCAGCTGCCCTTATTTATCAGCCAACCAGACTGTACTCCCTGGCACCTTTCCCTCATGTTCTCCAGATCCAAAGCCTCCAGATTTCTAGCTGTGGGGAAAATGCCTGAGGAGTGGCTTGCTTGGGCACCTACCAAAGACGAGCCTGAATGATTATCCATCTTCATTCCTTCCCCAACTCGGCTGGCCATTTTCCCAAACAGGATTAACCATCTTCTCCACTGAGGATAAAATAATAGGGAACTTACTGATATTTCTACAAAGGAAATCAAAATATTTCACCCCAAACTATGGCTCCCCAGTACAATAAGTACTTTGTTTGTTTGTGACAGGACCTCCCTCTGTTGCTCTGGCAGGAGTACAGTGGCCTGATCACAGCTCACTGTACCTCCCGGTTCAAGTGATCCTCCCACCTCAGCCTCCTGAGTAGCTGGGATTATAGGCTCCTGCCATCGCACCATGCTAATTTTTATATTTTTTGTAGAGATGGGGTTTCACCATGTTGGCCAGGCTGGTCTCAAACTCCTAAGCTCAAGTGTTCTGCACACCTCAGCCTCCCAAAGTGCTGGGTTTACAGGTGTGAGTCATCTGGAGTGCAACGGCATGACTGTAAGCCATGACTATACTAAATAAAAGACCCTTGGGAGTTTTTTTTTTTTTTTTTTTTTTTTTTTTTTTTTTTTTTACCCTTGGGAGACTGGAAGAGATTTTTTTCCCCTATCTTTGACCTATAAAGATAGGACTAGCTGGGCGTGGTGGTTCATGCCTGTAATCCGAGCACTTTGGGAGGCTGTGGCGGGCAGATCATGAGGTCAAGAGATCAAGACCATCCTGGACAACATAGTGAAACCCTGTCTCCACTAAAATACAAAAATTAGCCGGACATGGTGGTATGCGCCTGTAGTCCCAGCTACTCGGGAGGCTGAAGCGGGAGAATTGCTTGAGCCCGGGAGGTGGAGGTTGCAGTGAGCCAAGATCGCACCACTGCACTCCAGCCTGGTGCCTGGTGACAGAGTGAGACTCTACCTCAAAAAACAAAAACAAAACAAAACAAAAAACCACAATAGGACTAGCCAGGCATGGTGGCTCATGCCTATAATCCCAGCACTTTGGGAGGCCGAGGCGGGTGGATCACCTGAAGTCAGAAGTTCAAGACCAGTCTGGCCAACATGGTGAAACCCCCATCTCTACTAGAATTAAAAAATTGGCCAGACATGGTGGCATGCGTCTGTAATCTCAGCTACTGGGGAGTCTGAGGCAGGAGAACTGCTTGAACCCAGGAGGCAGAGGTTGCAGTGAGTCAAAATCGTGCCACTGCACTCCAGCCTGGGCAACAACAGCAAAACTCTAAACTCCATCTCAAAAAAAAAAAAAAAAAGGACTGACACACAAAAACAACTTTTCTTCTTCTTCCTTTATCCAATTATCCAGTACAAAAAAGAAGACCAAAAATCTAACCATAAAACGGGTCTCAACAGACCCTTTTTCACAATAATGACTGTCTCTGGGGATCATTTAAAATCCAGGGAGAAATATTTACAAGTTAACTTCTGTTCCTGGATTCAATCATTCTCCCTCTGCCCTTTGATAGAATTACTTTTCTCCCCCACTCCCATAACCTGTTTTTGTGAGAATCCAAGCCCCCATTCTTTCTGTAACCTCAAGATGGTAGATAAGCTTCCATACCTCATTGGGAAGTTGGATCTTCATTCTGAAGCCTCCCATGTACACATGTTAAATACATTTGTATGCCTTTTCTCCTATTAATCAATCTGCCTTATGTCAGTGATTTTTCAGCGAACTTGCACCTTGTCACCCACATAAGAATCCTCTAGTTTACATAGTTTTGTAAATGTCAGGCCACCCTGTCCCACTAGACTGCCAAGGTCCTGGAGGACAGCTGGGATTTAACTTTTTTTTTTTTTGATACGGAGTCTTTCTCTGTCACTAAGGTTGGAGTGCAGTGGCGCAATCTCTACTCACTGCAACCTCTGCCTCCCGGGTTTAAGTGATTCTCCTGCCTCAGTCTCCTGAGTAGCTGGGACTACAGGTGGCTACCACCACACCCAGCTAATTTTCATATTTTAATAGAAACGAGGTTTTGCCTTGTTGGCCAGTCTGGTCTTGAATTCTTGACCTCAGGTGATCTGCCCACTGCAGCTTCCCAAAGTGCTGGGTTTACAGGTGTGAGCCACCATGCCTGGCCTGGGATTTAACTTTTAATTCCTCAGAGAGCCAGGCATGGTGCTTTGCTCAGGAAGTGTTGGTTGAATTAAACTAGAGCAATCTTGAAAAGGGAAAATAACAAGAGTTAGAGGGAGATGGCAGGAAGCCCTCTCTGAAGATAGTTCTTTATATGAGTGGATTCTGCAGGGCACTGTTGCTCATACCTGTAATCCCAGCATTTTGGGAGGCCAAGGCAGGAGGATCATCTGAGGCCTGGAGTTCAAGACCAGTTTGGGCAACATAGTGAGACCTCCATTTCCACAAAAAATAAAATATTAGCCGGGTTTGGTGGTATGTGCCTGTAGTCCCAGCTACCCAGAAGCTGAGGCAAGAGGATCCCTTAAGCCTGGGAGATTGAGGCTGCAGTGAGCTGTGATGGTGCCACTGCACTCCAGCCTGGGCAACAGAGTGAGACCTCATCTCAAATAAATAAACACATCAGTGAGTGGGTTCTCAGCAAAACTTCCTAGCCACTCACCTCCTGTAGCCACAGGAGCTTTGAGAATCCACAGCGTCTCGATGCAGTCAGCTTTCTAACAAGTTCAGGTCCTTTGGGGCCTCACCTGTTTTCCCACAGATAAAAACATGCTGGAGGAAGCAGAAAGGGGCTGGAAGGTAGACAGGTGAGGACTTGCTCATCATCTCATGCCTGTGAGGTTGCTCTGACCCAGAGGGTCCCGCTGCCTGGCAGGCACCTGCCAGGAAGACTCCCACTGCCCCTGGATGCCCAGAGCGGGATGCCAGCTCTGTCACTTATGAAGTCCTTATCCACAGGGGCATTCTCCCTGGGGCTCCTCAGAAAACAGGACCCTCCATTGGCTCCCCATATGCTGAGCACATGATAGAACCCCTCCTGACTCAGAGACCCTGGCTCCTAGCTGCCCTGCCATGACCCAGACGGCGGCCTTTGGATATTTTTTTAGACTCACCTTGCCTCACCTCAGACCATAGAAACTCTAATCCCAGAGGTCACTGCAATAGTCACTCCACAAGAGAGGCTTATCTGGGTAGAGAGAGGCTCCCTACCTGTGGCTCAGCCATCCTGACAGTGCAAATCACATACACCCCGTGCCCCAACACTGTACACATGGGCTTTCTTTGCACCCGCCCACAATCACCACCACATTACCTGCTCTCCGAGGTTAGATGTGGCAGGAGAACGTTGCTTGGACCAGCAGAAACCATGCGGTCAAGGGCAATTGGAGTCAGCATGAGCTGGGTGGGAGCCCTTGGTGGGGTGGGGAGGAGAATTCAGGTCATACCTCCTTGAGGATGTTTTAATCATTTCCAGCATGGAATGCTGTTAACCTTTGCCACAGATTCATTAGGTCCGAGTTTCTTTTCTCTGTCCCGAGCTATCCCTTATATGTCAATATAGACTTCATGAAGGAAAATTGAGGCAGGTTTTTAAACGCATTATTCCCTCGAACTCTGATTCTCAAAAATGAGTGAATTTGGAGGCAGTGGCTCCTAGCTGTAATCCCAACACTTTGCGAAGTTGAGGCGGGAGGATCACTTGAAGCCAGGAATCTGAGACCAGTCTGGGCAGCATGGTGAGACCCTGTCTCCAGAAAAATAAACAAATAAATAAATAATAAATAATAGTGATATGAAGCATGATTAAATAGCCCTATTTTTAAAAATACATGAATTCATTACCTAATTCATTCCCTGATTCCTTTCACAGTCCTCTGTGACCAAAGTGTGAGGGTTTTGGTCACTCTGCTATTTGCAGGCTGATATGTAGTATACACACATACACACACAGGATGTATCTTAAGCTTTCTTTTGTACGTATACAATATATACAAGAAACTCAAGACACAGAAGCCCTTTTTCAAAATTAACTAAAAGTTTCAAACTCTTTTAAGTCTTCAGTAACCAATTTGCTAGTATGCTTATTTAGAACCATATATTCATCATATTGTTGTACAATATAACTATACATTCATTCTATTGCTTAAACGTATGAATTAAAACACTTGGCCAAGCATGGTGGTTCACACCTGTAATCCCAGAGCTTTGAGAAGCCAAGGCTGGCAGATGGCTTGAGCTCAGGGGTTCAAGACCAGCCTGGGCAACGTGGCAAAATCCTATCTCTACAAAAGATACAAAAATTAGCAGGGCATGATGGCATGTGCCTATGGTCCTAGATACTCAGGAGGCTGAGGTGGGAGGATCATGTGGACCCAGGAGGTTGAGGCTGCAGTGAGCCTTGATTATGCCACTGCTCTCCAGCCTGGGTGACACAGAGAGACACTGTCTCAAAAAAAAAAAAAAAAAGAGAGAGAGAGAAAGTTAAAAAAGAAAAAAAAAAAAAAAAAAACCAGGCCAGGCTCAGTGGCTCACACCTGTAATCCCAGTACTTTGGGAGGCTGAGGTGGGTGGATCACAAGCTCAAGAGATTGAGACCATCCTGGCCAACATGGTGAAACCCCATCTCTACTAAAAAATACAAAAATTAGCTGGGTGTGGTGGTGCACACCTGTAGTTCCAGATACTCAGGAGGCTGAGGCAGGAGAATGGCTTCAACCCAGGAGGCGGAGATTGCAGTGAGCCGAGATTGCACCACTGCACTCCAGCCTGGCGCCTAGCAACAGAGCAAGACTCTCTCAAAAACAACAACAACAACAACTCCACCACCAAGGGCTGTAACTTTAAGATCATTAAATGAATTAATCACTGCATTCAAAAATGATTACTTTCTGGCCCTAAGAGATGTGAAGCCAATACCAGGAAGGGGCTTAATCTCCCAAACCAGAGGCAGACTGGAGACTCTAATACAGTTAAGGAAACACCAGCAAGATGGCAGTCCCTAATACAATAGAAGTTACTATATTTTATTTGTTGTTTTTCTTTTGTTTTGTTTTTTTAGAGACAGGGGTCTTGCTCAGTTGCCCAGGCTGGAGTGCAGTGGTGGGACAATACCTCACTTCAGCCTTCAACTCCTGGGTTCAAGCAATCCTCCTGCCTCAGCTTCCTGAATAGCTGGGACTACAAGTATACACTACCACACACACCAACCTTTTTTTTTTTTTACTTGGAGTCGTGCTGTGTTGCCCAGGCTGGAATGCAGTGGCGCAATCTTGGCTCACTGCAACCTCCGCCTCCTGGGTTCAAGCAATACTCCTGCCTCAGCCTCCCGAGCAGCTGAGATGACAGAAGTACACCACCACGCCCAGGTAATTTTTGTATTTTTAGTAGAGACAGGGTTTCACCAGGTTGGCCAGGCTGGTCTTGAACTCCTGGCCTCATGATCTGCCCACCTCGGCCTCCCAAAGTGCTGGGATTACAGGTGTGAGCCACCGCACCCAGCCCAAAAATTTTTTTTTTAATTTTTGCGTAGGGATGAGAGTTTTGCTTTGTTGCCCAGACTGGGCTCCAACTCCTGGCTTCAAGGGATCCTCTCACCTCAGCCTCCCAAATTGTTGGGATTATGAGTGTGAGCCACCACAACCAGCCAGAACTTACTAATTTTAAAATTAGGAACTTAAAACTTGAGTAGCTGGAGCGCCAAGATTTTTCTTTGTCCCCAAATAAGTACTGTTGCAGACATAGAAAATCTGACATCTTTGCAAGAATCATGGTGGAGGTAGACTCTGTCCTATCTCTGGCTTGGTTTCGGGGACCTGGAAGGCAGCCCCTTGCACTGCCAAGAAGCATGCCAAAGTTAATCATTTGCCCTGCTGAGTACATGGCCGATCAGGCTGTTTTTGTGTGCCTGTTTTCTATTTTACGTAAATCATCCTGAACACGTCTGCATCAACCTACTGGTGATGCACCTTTGATCAATATATTTTAGACAAAAGTGGTTTTTGAGTCCAAAGATCAGGGCTGGGTTGACCTGAATACTGGATACAGGGCATATAAAACAGGGGCAAGGCACAGACTGATAGCAGAACAATCACCACCAAGCCTGGAAGAAGTGCAAGGGCTCTGCTGACGGCTTCCTAAGGTGCCAAAGAAATGAGGATGGAGGAAGGAATGAATGTTCTCCATGACTTTGGGATCCAGTCAACACGCTACCTCCAGGTGAATTACCAAGACTCCCAGGACTGGTTCATCTTGGTGTCTGTGATCGCAGACCTCAGGAATGCCTTCTACGTCCTCTTCCCCATCTGGTTTCATCTTCAAGAAGCTGTGGGCATTAAACTCCTCTGGGTAGCTGTGATTGGAGACTGGCTCAACCTCGTCTTTAAGTGGTAAGAACCTATAGAGAGGAGATCCACAAGGAAAGAGGCTGGCATTCACTCTGGAAATGTCTGTCCGTCCGAAGTTGCTTTTCCCAGGCTATTCAGGAAGCCACGGGCTACTCATACTCCCAACCCCTCTCTCTGATTTTGGATCATCTACATAAAGAGGGAAGACAGAAAAAAATCCTACCAGTGAGTTGAAAATACGGGAAAGCCAATTTCCTATGGGTTAAAGGGTAGAACAGTTGAATTTCCTGATAAGTCTGATTTATATAGACTTTGAGAAAAGAGTTTTATTACTATGAAGCAGAATAGGTAAAATAAAGATAGATGTATGGGGCCAGGCATGGTGGCTCAAGCCTATAATCCCAGCACTTTGGAAAGCCAAAGTGGGCAAATCCTGTCAGCTCAGGAGTTCAAGACCAGCCTGGGCAACATGGCGAAACTCCATCTCTACAAAAACATTAGGAAAAATAGCTGGTCATGATGGCATGCACCTGTAGTCCCAGCTACTCACGAGGCTGAAGTGAGAGGCAGAGGAGGTTGCAGTAAGCTGAGATTGTGCCACTGCCCTCCAGCCTGGGCAACAGAGTAAGACCGTTGCAAAAAAAAAAAAAAGATAGATGATGTTTGCTGTATGAAAAAAAAGAAACACACATATGATTCAAAAGCCTGTTTTGTGGGGTAATGAAAAGTCAGCCTGAGAACTGGGCTCCAGCCCTCGTTCTGCCACCCACCAACTACATGTCCTTGGCAAGTCATCAGTTCTCTGAGTTTCTGTTTTATAATCTACAAATAGGTTATCTCTGGCAGCTTAATAATAATCAGGGTTAACATTTATTAAACACTTAGTGTGTGCCAGGCCATGAGCTGTGTGCTTTTCTGTGAGAGAGTTGCTGCTATTTAGAAAGAGTAGATGCAGAGACCAAGGTGCTGAGTTAAATGATTAGGCTAACATGGTTAGTATATGCTGAGTCAGGATGGAATCTGGCAGGCTGGCTTCTGAGGCAATGCTCTTAAAAACTATGTTATAGTCAGGGTGTAGTGGTACACGCCTGTTATCCCAGCTACTTGGGAGGCTGAGGCAGGGGAATCGCTTGAACCTGGGAGGCAGAGGTTGCAGTGAGCTGAGATTGTGCTACTGCACTCCAGCCTGGCAACAGAACGAGACAAAAAAGAAGAGGAAGAAGAATTATGTTACATCCAGTGCTGATTTGCCAGTTTCTACCATGCAAACATTCCCATTATGGCCACTTTCTTTTTGCTTGTTTGTTTGAGACAGAGTCTCACTCTATCCCCCAGGCTGAAGTACAATGGCATGAATTGGCTCACTGCAACATCCACCTCCCAGGTTCAAGCAATTCTTCTGCCTCAGCCTCCGGAGTAGCTGGAATTACAGACGCCTGCCACCACGCCTGGCTAATTTTTGTGTTATGGCCACTTTCAAGCTACGGTTGGTTCCTGCTTGCAAAATTCCTGATATTTAATCATTGACTCTTCTTGGCCAGCTCCGGAGGACTCTAGCACACTACTGCTTTGGCCTCTATGTTCTCATCTAGAAAATGAAGGGGATCAGCTGTCTTCTAAGATTTTTACCATCCTCAAAACTACCTACCACCAGCTGATTCTTTTTTGTTTGATCGTTCAAGACAAGGTCTTGCTCTGTCACCCAAGCTGGAATACAGTAGCAGGCATAATCTTAGCTCACTGCAGCCTCAAACACCAAGGCTCAAGCTATCCTCCCTTCTCAATCTTCCAAGCAGCTAGGACTGCAGGTGCGCACCACCATGCCTAGCTATTTTTATTTATTTATTTTTTTTGAGACGGAGTCTCGTACTACCAGGTTCAAGTGGTTCTCCTGCCTCAGCCTCCCAAGTAGCTGGGACTATAGGCATGTGCCACCATGCCTGGCTAATATTTTGTATTTTTAGTAGAGATGGGGTTTCACCATGTTAGTCAGAATGGTCTTGATTTCCTGACCTTGTTATTTGCCTGCCTCAGCCTCCCAAAGTGCTGGGATTACAGGCATGAGCCACAGCACCCAGGCTGCTCAGCTAATTTTTTTTTTTTTTTTTTTTTTTAAGACAGGGTCTCACTATGTTGCTCAGGCTGGTCATCAGGCAATTTTATTTATTTATTTATTTATTTATTTATTTATTTATTTATTGAGACTTGCTTTGTCACCCAGGTTGGAGTGCAGTGGTGTGATATTGGCTTACTGCAACCTCTGCCTCTCAGGTTCAAGCAATTCTCACGTCTCAGCCTCCCAAATAGCTTGAATTACAGGCACCCACCATCATGCCCAGCTAATTTTTGTGTTTTTAGTACAGAAAAGTTTTCACCATGTTGGCCAGGCTGGTCTCGAACTCCTGACCTCAGTTGATCTGCCTGCCTCAGCCTCCAAAAGTGCTGGGATTACAGGCGTGAGCTACCACACCTATATATATATTTTTTTTAAGGGGGGAGGGCGGAGTTTCACTCTCGTTGCCCAGGCTGGAGTGCAATGGCATGGTCTCAGCTCACTGCAACCTCTGATCGGGCGATTCTTAAGATCTCTTCTAGCTCTAATATTCTTTTGCTATAACAATTAAAGTCCTTTAGCATAGGGGAAAAAATATATTAGTTTCTGGAGCCCCAGGTAGATTGATAAGATTCCTGAAACCACTGTTGAAAAAGCTACTAAATTTTGTTTGCAGTGTCTCCTTCAGCAGCATAATTCTAAAAAATAAAAAGGTGAAGTGTTGGCCAGGTGCAGTGGCTCACGCCTGTAATCCCAGCACTTTGGGAGGCCGAGGCAGGCAGATCACGAGGTCAGGAGATAGAGACCATCCTGGCCAACATGGTGAAACCCCATCTCTACTAAAAAAAGAAACAAAAAATACAAAAATTAACTGGGCGTGGTGGCATGTGCCTGTAATCCCGGCTGCTCGGGAGGGTGAGGCAGGAGAATGGTTTGAACCAGGGAGTTGGAGGTTGCAGTGAGCCGAGATTGCGGCACTGCACTCCAGCCTGGCGACAGAGCAAGACTCCCATCTCAAAAAAAGAAAGAAAGTAAGAAGGAAGGAAGGAAGAAAGAAAGAAAGAGAAAGAAAGAAAAAGAAAGAAAGAAAGATAGAAAAGATGAAGTGTTATTCCAACATCAGATCTCCATTGAAGAACCATGCAATCTCTCTGGGTTGGTAGGGGTCAGAGTTAGTGGTTCTCCCTGATTTCGGTGAGAAATCACTATACCTTCATCACAAGGGAAAAAAGGCATCCTGACTGACACTTGACATCTGTTTCCACAGTGAAAAATGTATCTAATAAGTTTAAAGGGAAAGTGGTTTGTCTAAGATACTCTGTTTCAAAGCAGAGAGAATACAGAACAAGCATCTGAAGCTATATACATCCTTACAGAGAGCAATTCTGATGGAAATGCAGGCCATGTTTCCTGGAGGGGCTTGTCCTAGGAGATAGAGAGCATTCTTTGATGTCAGAGGAAATGTAAGATTCCCTGAGGCCTGAAGAAAGAAAAGGGAACCCATGGTATATGCACATCCAAGTAGAAAACTGTAGTTCCAGGGCAAATACTTCTGGAGGTAAAGAAAAAAAAAGTCACATAGCTGCCATTATATGGATTTCAGGATTTTTCTTTTCTTTTCTTTTCTTTTTGACAGAGTCTTGCTCTGTCTCTAGCCTGGAGTGCAGTGGCACAATCTTGGCTCACCGCAACCTCCACCTCTCAGGTTCAAGCGATTCTCCTGCCTTAGCCTCCTAAGTAGCTGGGATTACAATCATGTGCCACCACACCTGGTTAATTCTTTATATTTTTGGTAGAGACAGGGTTTCACCATGTTGCCCTGGCTGGTCTCAATCTCCTGAGCTCAGGCAATCCTCCCACCTTGGCCTCCCAAAGTGCTGGGATTACAGGTGTGAGCCACCATGACTGGCCAGAGTTCAGAATCTTGGGCTTCATTATTTGTGTTTAAATAAATCATAAGGCCAGGCAAGGTGGCTCATGCCTGTAATCCCAGCACTTTGGGAGGCCAAGGTGGGAGGATTGCCTGAGCTCAGGAGATTGAGACCAGCCTGGGCAACATGGTGAAACCCTGTCTCTACTAAAAATATGAAAATTAGCTGGATGTGATGGCATGCATCTATAGTCCCAGCTACTCAGGAGGCTGAGGTGGGAGGAGCCCAGGAGATAGAGGTTGCAATGAGCCAAGATTGTGCCACTGCACTCCAAGCTGGGTTACAAAGCCAAATCCTGTCTCAAAAAAAAAAAAAAAAGATAATACATTCAAACAGTTCTCAATGCAAAAGTTACATACATAAATATGTGTCATAAAGCATGTCCCTCTCATACTTCTCCCCAGCCACCCAGTTCTCCCTTCTGCAGGCAACATGTGAAATCCTTCTCAAGCTACACTTTTCTTGAAGGTGTGGGCTTTGGGCCAAAGCATTCATTCAGTAACCCCAGAAACTGGTTCTGGTTTTCCACAGGATTCTCTTCGGTCAGCGTCCATACTGGTGGGTTTTGGACAGTGACTACTACAGCAACACCTCCGTGCCTCTGATAAAGCAGTTCCCGGTCACCTGTGAGACTGGACCAGGTGAGTGTCCCAGCCCCTGTAGAGGCGGAGGCTGGGTGGACCTCGCTCATCTGTTATGGATGAAACTGACCTTGAGGGGACATGAGGAGGGCCATTCCTTTGTACTTTTATTATGCTCTACAATTTGCACAAATTAATTCACTTCAGCAATGTTTTCCTGAATAGCACAATGGTATTGGAAATCTGCCTGTTGCAGAACCTGGATGGAGTCCGGAGAGGCATGGGCACCCAGAGGCAAAGAGCTTTTGAGAGTCACCACCCTGCAGCCCTGTGTCCTGATAAAGGAAAGGGCAGAAGCCTGAGTCCTGGGGGATCCTTCCCAATGGCCTGGCCCACTGGATGTGCCCTCCTGAGCTGACCATCCAATCCCTCGCTGTGCCTACATTTTATTGGTTACAGCCAGATGGGTACTGTCAGATCAAATGATAGATTTCATTTTCAGTGTGTAATAGGAAGCCCCCTCCCTCACCCTAAGGTCTAAGCTGCCCTCTAAAACTAGTATCCTCTAAGGAACTAGCATCCCTTCCTCAGAGACCCTTTCCCTGCCTCAAAACTAGGGAAGATTCCTTAGTTATTCGCTCTCACAGACCACTCATTCACCTCAGAGCATATTCACTCATTCAGCTATTACTTATCAAGCACCTGCTGGGAGCTATACCCTGTTCTATGTGCTAGGGATGCCTCTGTCAGTGAACAACACAGACACAAAGATCCCTGCCCTTATGGAGCTGAAATCTGAATAGAGGAGGTGAAATATACAAAAATCATAATAAATAAGTGAACTAGGCCAAGCGCAGTGTCTCACGCCTGTAATCCCAGCACTTTGGAAAGCCAAGGCAGGTAGATCACCTGAGGTTGGGAGTTCAAGACCAGCCTGGCCAACATGGAGAAATACTGTCTCTACTGAAAATACAAAAATTGGCCAGGCATGGTGGTGCATACCTGTAGTCTCAGCTACACAGGAGGCTGAGGCAGGAGAATTGCTTGAACCTGGGAGTCAGAGGTTGCAGTAAGCCGAGATTGTGCCATTGCAGTCCAGCCTAAGTGACAGAATGAGACTGTCTCAAAACAAAACAAAACAAAACAAAACAATTAATATATAGGATAGGCCAGGTACAGTGGCTCATGCCTGTAATCCCAGCACTTTGGAAGGCCAAGACGTGTGGATCGCCTGAATTCAGGAGTTCGAGACCAGCCTGACCAACATGGCAAGACCCTGTCTCTACTAAAAATACAAAAATTAGCCGGGCATCTTGGCACATGCCTGTAATCCCAGCTACTCAGGAGACTGAGGCAGGAGAATCACTTGAGTCTCGGAGGCAGTGAGCGAAGGTCACACCATTGCACTCCAGCCTGGGCAACAGAGTGAGACTCAATATGAAAAAAAAAAAAGAAAGAAAGAAAAAAATATATAGGATATTAGAAAATGATTGTTTATAGGCAAAAAGAAAAAAAAGGAGAAGGAAAGAAGGACCAAACATCTTTGGTAGAAAGATGCTTGCTTTCATCATAATAGCTTATTATCAAGGATGAATTTCTCCCTGAAATTAACAGAGGCACAAACTGGAAAGTTGAAAGGGGCTTTAGAAGTTGTTTGATTTAGTCCTCTGTCTTTACGAAAGCAAATTACTATCTCTGCTGCTTAGGTGGAGTAGCTAAGGTCCAGAAAGTTTAAATGAATTACCCAAAGTATATAATTAGCGTTCAAGGGAAGAAGGGAAGGAGGAAGGGCGGGAGGAAGGAAGGGAGTGAAGGACGAAGGAAGGAAAGAAAGAAGGAAGGGAGGAAGCGAGGGAGGCTGGGAAGCAGGGAGGGAAGAAAGCCTTTATTTATCGATGGGCTTCCCTGGAAAGCAGGCTGAAGTGGAGACTCACCTGCAGGAGTTTTGATACTCTGGGGAACTATACTTGTAAAAGGGAGGGAACAGGAACCAACATGGCAGGAGAAGCCCGGTTGTGAGTCTGCCTCGTCCAACCCCACAGGGATCTCTGAAGCTGGGGATGGCTCTTCAGACTTGGATCAAGGGAATCAGACCCCAGGGAGAGCATAACCTTGATCAAGGTGATTCTCCTTAGCCCAGAGCAATGCCCGGAGAAGGCTGAGAGCAGAGAGTCATCTGCCATCACACCATCAACAGCTACGAAATAAGTTCCTGCAGTTCAGGAGGGAGGTCTGGGGGGCACATCTCAGGACCCTGTGTCTCTCAGGGTAGAGGAATTAAGAATGGGATGGGAACCAGGCTGGGCATTGTGGCTCACATCTGTAATCCCAACACTTTGGGAGGCCAAGGGTGGGAGAATTGCTTGAGCCCAGGAGTTCAAAACCAGCCTGGCAAAAAGATAAAAAATAAAAACTTGCTGGGTTTGATGGTGTGCACCTATGGTCCCAGCTACTCAGGAGGCAGAGGCAGGAGGCCTGCTTGAGCCCAGGCGGTAGAGGCTCCAGTGAGCTTTGATCATGCCACTATGATCATTGCAGCCTGGGAGACAGAGCAAGACCCCGTCTCTTTAAAAAAAAAAGAAAGAAAGAAAGAAAGAAAGGAACCAGTTGCATGCAGGGTTAAATAGCAGAGTAGGACTCACTGAGAAAGTGAGATCTGAGTCAAGTCTTAAAGAATATGAGGAAGTAAGTTTCTGGCAGAAGAGCTGTGAAGAGTCACCTGCTCAGAGAGGATTGCAATGCAGAAGCCCCGAGGTGGGAAGGTATTTGGTGTGTTTAAAGGAAAGCAATGAGGCCAGCGTAGCTACAACAGAGTGTGCAAGGAGAGAAGGAAGAGATGTGGAGAGCGCCGTACACCCAGTATGCCAATTCTTTGTGTAATCTCCCAACTGTATTTAACTGCAAGAACAGGGACTCTCTCTTAATTTGCTCACCATTGTATTCCCAGAGCCTTGCACAATGCTTGGTGCATAGTAGATGGATATTTGTTAAATATATTTGAGTTATGGATAACGAATGAATGGTAAGATGGGTGGATGGATGGGGGGGTGAATGGATGGATGAATGGGTAGATGGGTGAATGGCTGGGTGGCTGGGTAGATAATGCCCCCTGGCAGTCTCCTGGATGAAGGCCTTTGTACCTTTATTCTCTTTCCTGCCCTTTAGGGAGTCCCTCTGGCCATGCCATGGGTACAGCAGGTGTATACTACGTGATGGTCACATCTATTCTCTCCATCTTCCGGGGAAAGAAAAAGCCGACCTACAGATTTCGGTGAGACCTCAGCACGGGGGTGTCGGCGGTGGAGGGCAGGAGACGGCTCTCTCTGTAGCTGGCACACCATGTGCTCTTCCTCACATTCCCCTAGCCCGCTCCCACTCCTTGGGCAGGCACTGATTAGAGTTGTGGCAGTTTGGTTAAAGGTAAGCCTCAGAGTCACGGAATGTTTGGGCTGAAAGGGATCCAGTGGTGCAATCCCTTGTTTTACAGATAAGGAAACAAGGCCTGACGCCATGAAGGGAGTTAGAAGATCAGGTAGTGAGGTAGCAGCAGGGCTTAAATAAAAACCCATGTCTGCACCAATCATAGAGTTGCCCATCCAGGTTAAAATAACCAGAAAAACAGAAGACATTTCTGCTACAGAGAATTCGATGTGCAGCCACAGTGCAAATCATTTTTTTTTTTTTTTTTTTGAGATGGAGTTTTTGCTCTTGTTGCCCAGGCTGGAGTGTCATGGCACAACCTCCAACTCCCAGGTTCAAGTGATTCTCCTGCCTCAGCCTCTCAAGTAGCTGAGATTACAGGCACGTGCCACCACGCCCAGCTAATTTTTGTATCTTTTGTAAAGATGAGGTTTCACCATGTTGGCCATGCTGGTCTCGTACTCCTGACCTCAAGTGATCCGCCGCATCAGCCTCCCAACGTGCTGGGATTACAGGCATGAGCCATTGCGCCCGGTCTTATTTTTATCTTTTTTAATCTTTTTTTAATCTTAATTTTGTTGTTGTTGTTGAGACAAAGTTTCGCTCCTGTTGCCCAGGCTGGAGTGCAATAGCAAGCTCTCAGCTTACTGCGACTTCCTGGATTCAAGCAATTCTCCTGCCTCAGCCTCCCAAGTAGCTGGGATTACAGGTGTGGGCTAACACACCTGGAAAATTTTGCATTTTTTTTTTAACTAGAGACAGGGTTTCACCTGTTGATCAGGCTGGTCTCAAACTCCTGAGCTACCCGCCTCAGCCTCCCAAAGTGCTGGAATTACAGGCATGAGCCACTGTACCCAGCCAATTTTAATGAGATGGGGGTCTTGCTACATTGCCCAGACTGGTCTTAAACTCCTGGCCTCAAATGATCCTCTCACCTCGGCCTCCCAATGTATTGGGGTTACAGGCCTGAGCCATTGCACCCAGCCCCCAGCAGGCATCTTTGGGCTTTTGAGTACGGCTTCAATTTGCAAAAATTCCACTGAAAGCACGTAAGTTTGCCAGGCTCCAATATTCCTGCCGGGGCTGTTTTATTTGCTAAAGGAGCTGCACCTGCCCTCGTTACGGTCACCTCTTCCACTGCAGGTGCCTGAACGTCATTTTGTGGTTGGGATTCTGGGCCGTGCAGCTGAACGTCTGTCTGTCACGAATCTACCTTGCTGCTCATTTTCCTCATCAAGTTGTCGCCGGAGTCCTGTCAGGTATCAGCTGATCTGACTCTCTTCCTCCTCCCCCCAACCCTAGTCCATTTCTCCCCCTAATCAGGACAAAAATCCCAGCATTCCAGCCACGTCCTGTGTGTAATCAGTACTGTTAGCATTTCTGCGGGTTGAAAGTCAAGGCTAAGCAACTTGAAATGATTAATTTCTAGAGGAGTGCCCAGATCTACAGAATGAATGATGCAGAAGTTACCATACAACAGATTAACTCACCAAGTTGAATGAGCTTGACATGTCAGAGCTTTTTACAATCTTTATTTCTTACTCATCTTCAACAGGCCCTAATTTACTTTTCAGGGAATCTGCCAAATTTAGCAAATTAACACGGTGTCCTAGGAAAGCTCTTTATCTCAATGCATTCATTTGCAAACCAAATAGGTATCTGCAGTTGATCTCTTTCATAGAGATCTTAAATATCTGTGTTTTCTTAGATCCAGTTAACAAGGATAAGACAAGATTTAGGCTAAACATAAGAAAGATTTTGGCCAGGTGCGGTGGCTCACGCTTGTAATTCCAGCACTTTGAGAGGCTGAGGCAGGGGGATCACAAGGTCAGGAGATTAAGGCCATCCTGGCTAACACAGTGAAACCCTGTCTCTACTAAAATTACAAAAATTAGCCAGGCATGGTAGTATGCGCCTGCAGTACCAGCTACTGGGGAGGCTGAGGCAGGAGAATTGCTTGAACCTGGGACGCGGAGGTTGCAGTGAGCCAAGATCACGCCACTGCACTCCAGCCCTGGTGACAGAGCAAGACTCCATCTCAGAAAGAAAGAAAGAAAAGGAAGCAAGGAAGGAAAAGAGGGAGGGAGGGAAGGAGGGAAGGAAGAATAGACTTTGCGGGAGGCACTGGACTGTAAGACCGACCTTAAGCCAGGTGCGGTGGCTCACACTTGTAATCCCAGTACTGTGGGAGGCCAAAGTGGGCAGATCACCTGAGGTTGGGAGTTCGAGACTGGCCTGACCAACATGGAGAAACCCCTGTCTCTACTAAAAATACAAAATTAACTGGGCATGGTGGCACATGCGTGCAATCCTAGCTACTCAGGAGACTGAGGCAGAAGAATCTCTTGAACCCAGGATGCGGAGGTTGCGGTGAGCTGAGATTGCGCCATTGCACTCCAGCCTGGGTGACAAGTCCAAAACTCCGTCTAAAAAAAAAAAAAAAAAGACTTAACAAAATTGTGGCCTTTCTTCCCTGGAGATTTGAAAGAGCCGAACACTAGCAGCATTCAAAGAAGAATGCTGAGAACAAGAGAGATAATGGTTTCATGGTAATCACAAAAGTAACACAGCATTTAGTACTGGCTTCCATGTTTGAGAAAGAACCTGGAAGCCATATTACATGAAAAATCTGGGAATGTTTAGGTTGAAGAGAATAACTATGTTCAAATGTGTAACAGAGGGACTAGATTCACCACTTACTAATTACCGCAGAAAGAACTGAGAAAAATAGATAGTATTAGAGGGGGACCAATTTCACACAGCACAAGGAAGAACCAGTCAGCAATTATTGCCATTCAAAGATAAAATGGACTGTTCTAGTGGGAGTGAACTCCCTACCTCTGAGAGTATTCAAGCAGAGCTAGGAGGACTTCCTGGTAGGAAACCTGCCTATGGTGGGAGGATTTGTGCAATATGACACTTCCATCTGAAAGAGTCTATACTGAGGGCAGGCTGGAGTCACACATCGGAATAAGCCAGGCGACCCTCCAATCTGCCACCTGTGATTTAATTTCACAGTCACAGACGTGTAATTCCACAAATGGATGGCATGTCACCCATTGCTCCAAACCCACCTTTAGCAAAGGTCCCAGATCCTTCCTGTCTCTCACAGTCATTATTTCTTCCACTCAGGAATTGCTGTTGCAGAAACCTTCAGCCACATCCATGGCATCTATAATGCCAGCCTCAAGAAATATCTCCTCACCACCTTCTTCCTGTTGAGCTTCGCCATCGGATTTTATCTGCTGCTCAAGGGGCTGGGTGTAGACCTCCTGTGGACTATAGAGAAAGCCCAGAGGTGGTGTGAGCGGCCAGAATGGATCCACATTGACACCACGCCCTTTGCCAGCCTCCTCAAGAACGTGGGCACGCTCTTTGGCCTGGGGCTGGCTCTCAACTCCAGCATGTACAGGGAGAGCTGCAAGGGCAAACTCAGCAGGTGGTTCCCATTCCGCCTCAGCTGCATTGCAGCCTCGCTCGTCCTCCTGCACCTCTTTGACTCCTTGAAACCCCCCGCCCAAGTTGAGCTGGTCTTCTACATCTTGTCCTTCTGCAAGAGTGCAGCAGTGCCCCTGGCATCCGTCAGTGTCATCCCCTACTGCCTCGCCCAGGTCCTGGGCCAGCCGCACAGGAAGTCTTTGTAAGGGATGTGGAGTCGTCAGTATCTAAAGTCAACAACTATGCCAGGGATTGAGGAGAACTAGTATCTGAAGCAATGGCTCCAGTGTTTGGAGCAAGTGACATGCCATCCATTCTGCCATTGTGGAATTAAATCACAGATGGCAGATTGGAGGGTCGCCTGGCTTATTCCCATGTGTGACTCCAGCCTCTTTCAGATGGAAGTGCCATATCACATACACCCTCCCACCACATGCAAGTTTCCCGCCAGGGGTCCTCCCCTCTCTAGTTGAATACTCTCAGAGGTGGGGAGCTCACTCCCACTGTAACAGCCCATTTTATCTTTGAATGGTGTTCTGCCAGCCCATGTTGAGGCCAGAGGTTCTGTCAGCTCAAGTGGCCCTCTCCCCCTTTTACAATTCTAATCATATTGGTGTTGAAAAGCTAATGAAGCTATTGAGAAAGACTTGAGACTAGAAGTTGGGTTGTTCTGGATTTTCCCTTGTTCTTTTGTCAGATATACAAAAGCAAGAGTTCCAGGTAGGGCCAGCTCACAAGCCCAGGCTGGAGTTCCTAAATGAGAATTTTCTACCTGTGCTCATCTTTACCAAAGAAAAGGAGAAAGGAGCACTGAAGCTGATAGGAAAAGAAGACTGTTTAAGGAGTTTTTAGTATGTGGTGTATCAGGCAAATGCTATGCTAAGCCATGTCTAAATGGCTTTAATTATATAATAATGCACTCTCAGTAACAGGGTGCAGCTGAAGTATAATTAATAGGTGGTTGGTGAGGTAATTCTGCTTCTAGTATTTTTTTTTACTGTGTATACATGGTCATCGTATTTCCCTGGATTTCTGAATGGCTGGAGTGACCCAGACATTGTACTAGGTCAGAACATTCAGGTATAGCTGACATCTCCTCTGTCACATCACATATTCCTCTTTATAAGCCCAGCCCTGCTTTTCACAGATTTTTCTACTGGCTCCACATCCACCCCGCTGGATCTTCGGATGGCTAGAGGGCGACTCTGGTGGTGCTTTTGTATGTTTCGATTCAATTCTGAAATCTTGGGCAAAATGAAAAGGAGAGGGCCAGGATTCCTCTCTCAGAAGGTCACTCCAGTGTAGAGGGTAAATGTGACTCCTTTCTCTATTGCAAGCCAACCAAGAGCACATTCTTAGAGGAAAAGTCAACGCCTTCTCTATTTTTTTTTTTTTTTTTTTGAGACAGAGTCTCACTATGTTGCCCAGGCTGCTCTGAACTCCTGGGCTCAAGCGATCCTCCCACCATACCACAGCCTCCCGTGTAGCTGGGACTACAGGTGCAAGCCACTATGCTTAGCTAGCCAGCTCCTTCTTTCCTGTTTTCCTTTTCTTTCCTTTTTTTGAGAGGGAGTCTCACTTTGTCACCCAGGCTGGAGTGCAGTGGCACGATCTTGGCTCAAGGCAACCAACCTCTTCCTCCCAATTCAAGCGATTCTCATGCCTCAGCCTCCCCAGTAGCTGGAACTACCAATGTACACCACCATGCCAGGCCAAGTTTTATATTTTTAGTATAGATGGGATTTCGTCACGTTGGCCAGGCTGGTCTCAAACTCCTGACCTCAAGTGATCCGCCCACCTCGGGTCCCCCAAGGTGCTAGGATTACAGGCGTGAGGCACTGCACCCGGCCCTCCTTGCCTGTTTTTCAATCTCAGCTGATTTGCAGAGTATCCTCAAAAAAAACAAAAACAAAAAAACAAAAAAAAACAGAAGCCTATTTATTTGAAAGTCCTTGTTTTTGCTACTAATTATATAGTATACCATACATTATCATCCAAAACAACCATCCTGCTCATAACATCTTTGAAAAGAAAAATACCTATGTGCAGTATTTTATTAAAGCAACATTTTATTTAAGAATGAAGTCTTGTTAATTACTGTATTTTAGATGCAGTGTGATCGGAAGTTTCTAATTCTGGCCCAACTAAATTTCTAGCTCTCTGTTTCTCTAAGCAAATAGTGTGGTTTCTCTGTGCCTGCATTTTCCCTTTGGAGAAGGAAAGCACTCTGTCTTGAGTTGACCAAGAGTCCCATCAGGGTTAGGGAGACTTATAATGCATCCACAGGGGCACAGGCAGAGTTGAGCACATAAACGGAGGCACAAAATCAGCATAGAACCAGAAAGATCCAGAGTTGGCCAAGACAGAACGTTGCTACTAGACCACAAGTCAGCATGAGTTGCTCTATGGTATCAAATTGCAGCTTGTAGCAGACAGGCAGGGTCACTATCAAGCTAAGCAATCAGGGCACACAGGTTGCAGTTACCCAACAAGACTAGGCCAGCTCTGGAATCCGATAACTCAATGTCAGCAAGATTTTGGGTGATAGTTCAAGAAAGTCTAACCAGAGCCAGTCATAGCACCAAGGAATGCTTAGGGAAGCTATTGCAGGTTTCTCCGCTAAGAGATTTATTTCATCCGGTGTGCAGGGTTCTACCTTCAAAGGTGTCTCAACTCATCACCATATCCCTGGATTTCCTAAGGGTGAGATCTGCTATTTCACACCACAACTCTGGAGTGTATCTTCAGGGAAGATTGCATTCTACTACTGGATTTGGGCTCGTAGAGGGTGTTGGGGGAACTAGGCCCCTCGCAAAATCAAATGGTCCCACCCAGGGAGAAAGAAAATCATCTTTTTTTTTTTTTTTAAATAGAGATGGGGATCTCATTATGTTGCCCAGGCTGGCCTTGAACACATGGGTTCAAGTGATCCTCCTGCCTCAGCCTCCCAAAGTGCTGGGAGCACAGTGTGAGCCACTGCACTTGGCCAGAAATGGTTTTGATCTGTCTGAATTGAACCCCACTGCTTAGGCACAGCCCCATCCTTTATGATTTATTTGCTCCCAGGGACCAAGTCCGAGATCCCTATGAGAGAGATCTGGCAAAAAGTAAATAGTGCCCCCACTCCCTGAAGTTTATGAGATTGATAAGGAAACATAATAACAGATAAAGTTTATTGAGTGCTAACTTTATGCCAGGCTCTGTTCTATGTACTTTATTTACACAACTAACTCACTTAGTTCTCCCAACATCTCTGTGAGTTGGCTACCATCATTTATCCTCATATTACATGCAAATAGGCCGGAGGGGTTAGGCATCTTGTCCAGAATGTGGAACCAGGTTAAGGACCAGGGAGTCTGGGCTGGGCATGGTGGCTCACACCTGTAACCCCAGCACTTTGGGAGGCCAAGGTGGCAGACCTCCTGAGCTCAGGAGTTCAAGACCAGCCTGGGCAACATGGTGAGATTCCATCTCTACCAAAAATATAAAACATTAGCGGAGCATAGTGATGTATGCCTGTGGCCCAACTACGCAGGAGACTGAGGTGGAAGGATTACTTGAGTTCAAGAGGCAGAGGTTGCAGTGAGCCGAGGTTATGCCACTGCACTCCAGCCTGGGTGACAGGGAGACAGAGTGAGACCCTGTCTCAGAGAGAGAGAGAGAGAGAGAGAGAGAAAGGCAGTCTGGGCTGGGCACTGTGGCTCAAGCCTGTAATCCCAGATACAAAGTGATACAAAATGATCATTTTGTAATATAGCTAGCTTATTAGACAGAAGATTTTGATCCCTCGTCTGTTCCCCAAGTTGTAGATTAATGTCCACTTTAGAAATGGCTTGTGAGGCAAGTTTAAGTAACCAATGACAGTTTTAAAGCAAGATCCGTGTCATGTCATAGCATAATTTGGTAAAATGCTCTAGTAGTGTATCAGTTTTCAGGTGGTAGGCTTAAGGATCACATACACACACACACACACACACACACACACACACACACACACCCCTCCCACTTTAGCCTCCCAAAGTGCTGGGATTACAGGCATGAGCCACCGTACCTAGCCATGTTTTTGATTTTTAACAAAATTATAACACCTTTAAAAAAATGTGTAGCTGGGCACAGTGGCTCATGCCTGTAATCCCAGAACTTTGGGAGGCCAAGGTGGGTGGATCACAAGACCAAGAGTTCAAGACCAGCCTGGCCAACGTGGTGAAACCCCATTTCTACTAAAAAAATGCAAAAATTAGCTGGTCATGATGGTGCATCCCTGAAATCCCAGCTACTCAGGAGGCTAAGGCAGGAGAATTGCTTGAACCAGGACCCAGGAGGCAAAGGTTAAGTGAGCCAAGCCAGGCTGCACTCCAGCCTGGGCTACAGAGTGAGACTCTGTCTCAAAAAAAAAAAACAAAAAAAAAACAAAAAAAAAAAAACATATTTTGTTTATCTGTTCATCAGGCCGGGCATGGTGACTCACATCTGTAATCCCAGCACTTTGGGAGGCTGAGGCAGGATGATTACTTGAGCCTAGGAGTTCAAAACCAGCCTGGCAACACAGGGAGATACCATGTCTACAAATAATAAAAGATTAGCTGAGCATGGTGGCACATGCCTGTAGTCTCAGCTACTCAGGTAGGAGGATACCTTGAGCCTGGGAGACGGAGGCTGCAGTAAGCCACTGCACTCCAGTCTGGGCAACAGAGCCAAACTCTCTCCAAATAATAAACTAATGGATGAATGAATAAATAAATAAACGTGTTAATCAGTTGATGGATAACTGGATTGTTTTCACTTTTTGGTTATTATGAATAACAGTGCTACGAACATTTGTGTGCAAGTTATTGTGTGGATGTCTGGTTTCATTTCTCTTGGGTACATTCCTAGGAGTGGAATTGCTGGGAGATGTGGGAACTCTATATTTAACCTTTTTAGGAACTGCCAGACTGTTTTCCTGAAGGCTTAGTTAGGAAAAGTTTTACAGTATTTTGGTTTTGTCGTCTCTTTTGATTTCCTAGGATTATACCCTTTGTCATAATTTTGTCTACTTCTACGGTTTGGAAGGGTTTTAAAGCAAGACCAATTAGGTGGTCAGATTGTTCTTTTGCTTTTTTTTTTTTTTTTTTTTTTTTTTTTTTTTTATAGACAGAGTCTCTCTCTGTTGCCCAGACTGGAGTGTAGTGGCACCATGACTGCTCACTGCAGCCTTGACCTCCCAGGCTGAAGCGATCCTTCTGCCTCAGACTCCCGTGTAGCTGGAAGAACCACCACACCCGGCTATTTTTTTTTTTTTTTAAGAGACGAGGTCTCACTATGCTGCCCAGGCTGGTCTCCAATTCCTGGGCTCAAGCGATCCTCTCACCTTAGCCTCCCAAAGAGCAGGGATTTCAAGTGTGAGATTTTGTGTGACGGTGGCCAGGTGGTCAGATTTTACTGAGGAACTATCGGTGCGCTCCTCCGCTTTTGCTGCCAGTGACTTTGTTGTTCCGACAGGCATTCTGGGAACAGTTCATTTGAAGACATATCTGTATGTCTGAAATTCCAGCCCTAATCAATTGACTCATTGTTTGCAACCTGTCAAAATTTGCTGACTTGTTTTCTGAAAACCATGACTGCAGCTGCTGAATTGCTAATATTTATTGACTTCACTCCTTAGTA